TTAGCAAGCATTTTAAGCGTTTGAGCTGAATATTCGTCCAAAAAGTCTTGCAATTCATTGATTTCGAAGCTTATGGTTGTCCTGTTCCATTGTATCCCAATTTTTAGTTTGGGTTTCAAAAGAACGATCCTAGAGGATAACAAAAGTTCGAAATGTGTTTGATAATAACGTTTCCATCGCTGATCCAAACATATGTAAGAAACTATTAGATTGCCTAAATTGTCAGAGATTCTTTCCCAATGTTATGGGCGTTTACATAAAAATCAAATTTACTTTCAAAACTGACTTTGCACGACCGGTATAACTAATAATATTATCAAATTAGAGAGCTTTCTATTTCAGTTTTTGAGTTGATCCAAGGCCAAATGGATACAATACAGTCATGGTTAAATCGCTCATAAGTCTAGGGCTGATCTAAAAGATGTTACATAAGCAAGCGTCTCCTCTCGCATTATAAAAACGATTCATGCGTACCGGACCGGAAGCAAAATCGTGTTATACGAAACTTTATTTATTTATTTATTTTTTTTTTATTTAAATGAAGACAACAATAATAATATAATTTAAACTTAGATATAATATAAATCAAGACAATGCGTAATCATCATGGTGTTGTATCGAAACCAAGTCTTAAAATGTAAAATTTTATGATAGCATAGATTTCATTTCATTCCAAAAAACGCATATAAATGAAAAACATAAGTTATTTTCATATATATATATAGGAAACTCAACAGTATGATTATAGGCAAAAATTAATAATAATGACGATCGCGAAACTAATATATATATATATATTTTTTTTACTTAAAATTGATTGCAACTCCTCTCAATAAGTAGATAAAGTAAAAGTAAAAAACAAAAGTTATTACAAAAAAAAAAAAAAAAAAAAAAAAAATCCAACGGAATATATATTCGATTTTTTGAAATTGTGCTTTTTTTTTAAAACCGTATTATTATAATGTTCGCAAATATTGCTCGACTAAACGAGGCACGCCTGTTTATATCTATACATATAAATATAAATAGGTCCATAGAAAAACAGGTGCATGTTATTTTATGTTGATGGATGGATGCTATCAATTCTTTTCCATTTCCACTTATTCTACACAATTTATTTACTATTTATTTACAAAGTAGGAACATTTCAGTAATTAAAAAATGGTTTCACAGTGATACATGTTAAACGTGATCACAAAAAGGTGTTCAATTCAAATATATATGGGTGGACAGTAATAATAAGGCGGACGTGCAAAAAACTTGAAAATAACGCAACATTTTGTACCTAAAAGTAAAACATTTTTAATAAAAATGAATTCAGACAATTTCGACAATTGTGCTGTGGCACCTAAAATCTCGCTGACGAGCTTTGCGGCAGCCACCTTTCCCACAATTCCTGACGTATAGAATCGCAAAAAATGCACCTCGCACCTATTTTGGTGCCTACCTGTTGTGTACATATACATACTAGTACACGCACATATATATATATATATATGAGAAATATATATATATGAATGAATGAATACATCTATGTATGTTAAATGATAAAGAAATGGAAAATACCAGTGTACATTCCTATACATAAAATAACAGTTTCCCATTCAATATTATTGATTTATTTACCGTAGGTCGACATCGTAATCGTGGAGCGCTTACAATTCTTTTTCTTACTAATTCATTACTTTTGTGATTTATTTGAAGCAATCTGCTGCGGAAGCCCACTAAACACGTTCAGAGGCTTGTGGTGACGCTATTCCATCATATTCTATCTAAGTGTCGGTTTCGCCGTCAATGGCTTAAAAGTGGCGGCACAAATTGCCTGAAAATGCTATTTTTTCTCTACTTGTTGCAAGAGTTGTCCAGGTTGTCCAGATATGGCGTCTGCTGATTACCTTACTTGGTACCTCAAGTCGGTGCAGCATGGCTCAATCGGCACGCGGGTCTGCAAATTTGAAGAGGTGCGTAAAGGGATCGCTGCTGTCAAGCCATTACAAATTCTTTTGACATGATATCGCCATGTTGCAATGTTGTAGAAAATGATGGAAACTATTTTGTTTTATATAAGTGTTGTATCAAATTTTCCACAATAAATGCCCTTTTTAAGTGAAAAAGCGATCCACATTTTTTGCAAACGCCTAATATGCCATATGTGTGTGTGTGTGTGTATATATATATTTTATGAGCTTTCTGGTGCATATATTTCTGGATGTTCGAGTGTGGAAAACGCATTTAACATAACTGCATTCCTTTGTGATTACATTATTGCGACACTACAAAGCACATTTGTAATTATACACGGATTGAAGTAACACCCAAATAGTCAAACACACGAATTGAAATAAAGTTTTTATAGCGAAATACATAAAAATAAATTGCGGTGATTTAATCGGCCATTTGCCTTACTTCTAAACAAAAATGAATGAGAAATGAATACATTCTACGACACCTGTATATGTAATTATTTAACTTGATCATCATCATCATCTTGCCTGCTTGCTTACATTTATGCTATTGTAATACTTTCATGTTAATAAATTATTATTAAATCTATGTTAAGAGAAATTGTGTTATACGGAGAGCAATTAAACCACATATGTATATCCGTTTCAAAGTCTGCTTCTAAGCGTGCTTGTAAGCATGTCTTATAATTTTTATAAATAAATGCATCAACGTAAGCACAAATTCTTACTTATTGCAGTTTTGTTTGTCTTGTGAAAATGTAAGTGACAACTATTAACACAACTTTCTATTCAAACTTTAAATCAATTCACAAAATTATAGCTATTAAAAATGTATGTACACGTATGTGTGCACACACACACACACATCCGATCTAGCACAATTGCTTGAAAATGAATTAAAGAATTAAAGATTTCTTAACTTTCTCATATCTCTTCTGTTCTCAATTTGTTTTTTTCTTTTTTTTTTTTTTCCTTTTAATCTTATTTTTATCGCCTACACGCAATTAATTCATTACTAAATAACTTATTATATCGCTTTTGTGTCAACAAGTACTTTCACGGGAAAGAAAAGAAAAAATAACGGTTAAATGCAAATAAATAAACAAATCCAATTAACAAAAGGTATGCAAAGAAAAATAAATAAAATTTCAACAAATTAATTAAGATATCAACTTAAAAGTAATTACACGATCGATTATGAATAGAATTGATTGCCTCCTCTTATTGCACAGACCATTCGTAATAGATATGAATGAATATATTTCACTCTATAAGTAACAAAACTCTCTTAGCCCATCTCAACTTTTTTTGAGGAAAAATTGATCAAATTGATTATCGAAAAGAAAAATCCATCAATATCAATTTAGCTAAATATAAATAAATCATTAATTTCTTGTTGCGAACGGTATCGTGAATAGATTAAGCTTGCTTTGAACTTTATCTGCTCTAATTGATGTTTCCAAATTTAACCGCTTTTATGTATATTAATGTATGTATAAACACAGTCTATATATATCTGCGATAAGTATAAACATCAAATAGTATTATGAAGTCCATCCAAGTGTTAAATTAATGAAATCCATCACTTAACTATTTTTCATTTTTAATAGTCGGAAGAAAGCATTTTACATATCGCCATAGGTAGTACACATATGCTTGATTAGCGTAAGATTCTGAATAAATTCAATCATTTCTTTTTATAAGTTATATAACGCAAAAGTTTCACGATTGCAAAATTTTTTGCGAATTAGATGAAATTTGACACATTTGCTGTATACAAATCGACATGAAGTGCTTTCAAACAAACATACATTCCTAAACAAGTTAGAAACTTGAAAGATACAAAATAAAAATTATACTTAAATGATTTATGACGTGGTGTCCATATACTAACAAACAAAAAGTTTAACAGGCTTTTTTATTTTCTCTCCTAACGCGAACAGCTAAACACAAATTGTTCGAATCACCCAAGTCTCAGCGATTGTTGTTTCCAAGTTCATGCCGCATTTTAAAATAATCAAATTTTTAAACTGTATTTCAATGTTTTAGATATTGAACACTAAATCTCTTAGCCTACGCTTTGATTAACTTGGTTAAAAGAAAAACAGAACAGATCAGAATAGAGTTGAATATATATATATATGTGTGTGTACACAGATGTATATAAATGTATATATATAAATTTTTTTTTTATATCATTATTTATTTGAAATTACTCTTATATTTGACAAGCGGGAAAAAAATGCTCTCCTTTACGAAAGGCAGAGGAAAGAAAGAAAAACTTGCTAATAAAAAAAAAAAAAAAAAAAAAAAATTTATATAAAAGTAGAAAACGCACAGGTATACACATATTAACGAAGTAAGAGGGAAAGAACTTAAAATAATGATGAAAAAAAAAAAAATACATGAGAACAATTTGAAATTTTGCTACAAAACATCAATAAATCATTTCGCCCCAAAATGAATTTAGGTAAGGTAATCGACGTTATACGGGACGACTGTGTGATGGTTTTAGCGCGGCATTTGAATGAGATAGAGCGGTTTCAAACTAAATCTACGAACTCATTTACAGATTGAGGCTTACAAATACATACACATGCGTATATATATATATATATATATATATATATATATACATTTGTATATATGTCGTACATGCATCCCCACTGCTTAAAACATCGAAGCATACAACCACAAGCACAACGTGCAAATAAACACTAATACACGGAAGCAGCAGTAGCGAATTAAAAAGCAAAAAAAAAAAACAAGCGTCAAAGTGGAGCAGCACACTCGCCTATGTATCTATATGCTTACATATATAGAAATATATAGAGGCTGTGCAAGCAACCTTTATATGATCAGAAAAGAAAAAAAAACCCCGCATACTACTCGGCTCACGTTAATATAATTGCGGTGGCGCGTATTTTGTATGATTTATATGTTTAAAAAAATTATTTTTAATTTATATATATATATATATATATATATATAATTTATATATATGTATATATATATATATAAATCATGAAAACTTACATTTTCTCTGGTTTGGTATTTTCTTTCTTTGTTTGTTTTCCGTCAGACCAAGCTCCACTTCACTTACGTTTTAATCACGTATTTCTGCAAATGTTATTCGATCAACGTTTGCTTTTGTTATTGTTTTTCTTTTTTCATCGAATTTTCCTTAAAATTTCGCATTTATTTTTTTTAATCTTTTCAGTTTACTTGCATTTATTATGTATTTTTCGTTCTTTTAGTTTTCTTTCTTTTCCACCACTTCTTTGCACACACGCACGCACGCACACTGGCACTCATATACACATTCAGTGCGGCATCGGGGAAAAAAATGATATTTTCTTTCAATTTTTTCACATGTAATTTTTTATTAGATATTTATTGAAATTTTATAGAATTCATAGAAAAAAACGTTTATTTAACATTTCTCAATGTTTTTTATCAATTTTAAAATAATTCAAATGTACAAATTATTCAATTTTCTTAAGCGAGACGGTGAAAACGAAATTTTTTTATGGAAAAATCCGAAAGCACACGAACCATGTTTGCTGTAAAGTGCTGCCAGCATCAGAAGTTTGTCGACATTTCGTAAATGTGACTGAGTTGTGGAGAGTTAGAAATAGAAATAGAAATACGAATGGGAATTAATGAGATTTGAAAAATGGAATTGTAATCATTTTTAAAGACAACCATAAGCGTTTTAAAATATTTCGATAAGGTATTATTTATTAATTTTTAGGGATTATCATTACGATTTTCTCTTTTTTTAATCATTTTCATATACGGAAAAAAATTAAATGTCTTATTACCTGCCTGTAATACTTTTACTTGAGGCGCGGCCCCAAAATTATCAATCTAAATTTTTCAAGTTATTCAGTTAAAATAATTTGTTCGATTTTCACTACGAATTTGCAAAAAGACGTAGTCGTGACATTCGAAAAATTATGAAAGTTCGCCTTAAAATTAGTAAACTCTTTTCAATCAATTATACATATTTCCTACAAATTTAATTAAGGAAAAGATTTAAAAAAAAAACGGAGGACAGTATTTTTATATCAGATTAGATGTAATGGAATAGTTGTAAAATACTTTTGATACACGGCCTCGTAGCATATATTTATAAAAGATCAAAATAGTAATCAGTTTAATAAATCCAAAGCCCCTCCGGTCGTTTACCACAACAATATTTTAAAAGCCCGATTAAAATTAAAATGTGCCTCGTATATTTTTCAATGAATGCTATATAGGCTATTTAGGATTTGTAAACTATTTGAGGAGTTTAACAAATATACTTCTTGATATTACTGCCCATCCATAGAAAAAATTCGTTGAATCCGTTCATCCGATGAGAGTTTTTAAAATTAAGTAAACGTTATTTAATATTATAAGTGTCGAAATTCTATAATTTGCTTACATAATTATATGCTGCGTACAATGCAAAGTAAATTTATTTAATGGATGATGTCTAGATATCCTAGGATAACTTTCTAATTTTTATACATTGTTGATTAGCGTCAAAATCAAAACTGCTTTGATTTTACTTGCTAGCTTTTCATTCAAACCCTCCTTATGAATATATACATTGTTTAAATTATATATTTTCGTCAGCTAAACCCATTCATGCTTCGATCGTTAATTAGGAGCAAATTACATACAGAAAGGCAAAACACGTAAAAATGCTTTCTAGTTTTTGCAATTATCTATGAAACGCGGTATACTGTCTATAATAAGCAAAGCGAATTTCGCTGTAAGTAATCAATACCATAGATGATGTACATCGATCGCATAGATGTTGGGAATCCGAGACTCATTTGCCTTAACATTAAATATATATAATAATATGAAATTTTTTCAAAAAATTCTACAAATCATGACAGCAGAACGAAATGATAATTAGAAACCGATATACATTCGTTCAGAAAATTCTCATAATTTTCGGAATACTTATGGTAGATAGATGTGCCAATTTTTCAAGATTAGAGTAGATTTTGTAGCGTTAATTGAAACTCACTCACTTCGATATTCAGTATAAGAAAGCGAAGCTGCTAGATATTAGATGATATTATACGACGCAGTTTGATGTTAACTGTATCGATTTATGAAAACATTCATAGTGATGTAAGCACAAAAGAAAACATATGTTTAACTATTTATTTTTGTACATAAACTTGAACGTTTTATTGCCGCCACAGATTATAAATAATTGTTTTTTACACGTTACTAGGAAGAAATAATGGCTAGTAAATCTCCACAACATATTAACTTAAATGAAGATTTGGATTGGATAAAATTAAGAGAAGAAACGGGATCGGCATTCCCGGAAACGACAAAGGAGAAAATGATGCGCAAAATTAAAGAGAATCCACTAGTACCAATAGGTAACTACAAAGTTTTAAATGAGTGTTTGCCTTATATAAGCTAAGAAAAACTGAATACATATACGCATATTCTTGAAATTTCCTGAAACAGGTTGTTTGGCCACAGCTAGTGCGTTAGGATTCGGTTTGTATAATTTCCGTACTGGTAACCGCCGAATGTCGCAAATGATGATGAGAGCTCGAATTATTGCCCAAGGGTTCACAGTAGCTGCATTGGTCGTCGGTGTAGTTATGACCTATAACAAAAAGGAATAAATTTTCATTGAAGGGTATACGCTAGTATATTTTAAAACTCATTCTCCTAGTTTTTTATAAGAATTGTGGTGAAATCAATTATTTTCTTAAGTTCCACATCCCACGAATTATTGAAAACAAAAACAAAGAAGCAAAATAAATATGACGTAGATGTAAAATATTAATATCACCTCCTTGCTTGTATTTAGCTTACTATGTGTAAATATACTACTGATATGTGATGTACAAAACAAAAAATCTATCAATATTTGAACGTCATCTCTTGTTAAGCCCATAAATTTAATGCTCCGTCGACGTCTAATATGCACAAAAATAGGGAACAGTCCTAATGAGTGGTTGCTTTATCCAAGCTGAACTGACATTTATTTTTTATTACTTTAAAAAAATGTAGATATTTTCCGGTATTCTAACGCGCTCTTAATTATTTGAGAATTACTGCGCTTAGCCGCGGTCAAGTTCTGTTGACGGAAAGAAAGCAATGCTTAAATTAAATTCAATAGAGAATGAAGTTTATATCAAAAGGATTTATATGAAAGAAGAGGCGGAAAGTCGTAGTCGTAGAAAATTGATGGTAAATGCAAGTACAGTATAATGTGAACTGTTCCAAGGCAATAAAACTATCGAGCAAGAATATTATCAACAACAACTTCGGTAAACAAAGAAAAAGTCCCCGTAATATGTGAAAAACTACAATGACGTGATTTTTTGACCCATCTCAGGGGAATAATGATATTTTCATTTTATCAAAACCATGGCCATGGAATATTCATATTCTTGGCCATCGAATCGTGTCAATTTAAACATGATCTTGTATACGTCTATATAATGTCTGTGGTAAGCATTCTCTTAGTTTCAAGTTAAGGCAGAAACAGTGAAAGTTACTGAATGCAGATTACTATTAAGAATAGGCTAAAAAGACATGCCCACTGTACAATATGAAGATATCGCCTTCAAATTTGGTAAAAACATTGAAAGATTTATTTATGTTAACAATGGGCCAAAGAACACGTTTAGATTATTCGTAGAGTACAATAGAGGTGCGATGATAATTTGTAAGGATAATCTATAAAAAAAATCAGCTATGCCCATCCAGGATTATAAAGTATAAAAATGTAGTTTTCTATATATATATTTTTTTGCAGTTTTTTTTTACGATGATGGTGGTGGGCACAGATGATTCGGGCATAAGCTAAATAAGTTTTCTTCGCATTGCTTAGTAGATAGCAAATTCGACAAGTCGGCGTATCTGACCAATCACCAATGCGGTAGACCATACTTTGTTTAAAATTGGCATATAGCTAATCTATAGTGATTGCTTGATCTGTAAAGGCCGTACACCTGCTACAGAATCGGCTGCATTCTGTTCCTCTTCTTCCATTTGCTTCTGAACATCACCGTGCTTTCATATGCGTAAAGAGATATCCCTTTAGTGATAAGTTATATTTAAAAAAAAAAATTACCTTTGTACTTTCTGTTCCATAGTTTTTGCTGACCTTCAATTGTTTACGAAAAACTGTAGCTCTACTGTCTCATAACGCGTCCTTGACAATGTAAGTCGTTGTCTAGGTGCAGTCACAGATTCCTTATATGGTTTTACATGGATTTCTACTTTGAAGACCTAACTGCACCTAACTCGATGGCACACGAGTCATCTCGACAAGTGACAACCGACGCACCCCAAGGTGTAGAATAATCCCCAATGGAGGAGGTCCTACTACTCCTGAAGCGCCGCCATACAGATGGGGTGTGAGCCATTTTCTTGCTTATTGGTATGCCTCTTGAGTAGTTCTCAACGAAACTTCGGGATAACCACAGCCACCATGATAATTCTTGAAAGGCCGTATGTAGCAGTCAGGTAAGAAGGCATTCTCCCGGCAATCAGACGGTTAGTGCAGCTTCCTAGTAGGAGCAATCCTACTTTTGGGCAAACTGATTTCCTTGGATACCCATTAATATCATGGCTTATCGTTCGTACAGAACTTAGATAGTGCTATACAACTTTGGGTGATCTCTTACTGTACGAAGCTGAAGCCATTCTTGCCTTCGGATTCTCCACACGTCACAGTAGGCATACCAAACACTATCCTTTCTCGAGAAAACAATGCTTCTCAGGTTGTCATCGCACTGCACACACCCCACCCCAGTTTTTTTCAAAAAATTGTGCGTTTTTGAAACCTCTCGCGATTAAGCGCATTTGAGGTTTAGGTTGATATCAATGAAATGCCCGCAGAATTAGCAAAGCTCCCCTCTCAACGTGTAAAATAATTCCACACCGCTTAGAAGCTCTATATCAAATTGGGATACCAGATATTAGAGTATGTGGTGTGGTCAAAGGTCTATCAAAAGAAATTTGTTCATTTATTGCCACTATAGAAATTCGTTTTGAACATATAACTAACGGGTCAAAAAGTCATCCAGCAAACATTGATTTCCTTATGTCAGGGCATACAAGATGTCTGAGCTATTTAACACTGTGTCTTCTCCCCCACGAAAACCTAAATACTACAAAAAGTATCATAACGTGAATCGTTCTTTCAGAGAATTTATATTTCCGTCCGATTGTGATTTTTGATATAGCATCTAGGCGCAGTTTCCTTAACCCACATATCTGTTCGCTTTTGATGGAATTTTCATCTACAATTTGGCTAATCGCCAGCTACTGGCGGATGGTTAGAAAGAGAATTTCCTGCAAATAGATTCTGACAGTTTTCCATGCAGGCTCTTCCGTCCTTATATAATTTCCGTAAAAGTATTATTTTTTTTTTTTTTTTTGTTATAAAGCTAAACAAAATACGCAATGCTTTTGCAACATTCTGTATTGCCCAGGGTTCCATAAATTGGAATAGATAGAGCAAGTGCACTGACGAGTTAACTCGTCACTGATCAGCAATCTTTTAACAGATTATAATTTTTTGATTGCGTTCTCTCTGCTTCTTATCATTCAGATGAAGGCATCAATTGTAAGAGCAAGGGTCTTAAAGTATTAGCACAATCATCTAAGGCTATCGGTTTATTGGACTTGAGATCTGCGCCCACGGCCATTCAGGTTGTTAGTCAAGATCCTTTGCCTAGTCATGAAGACTCGAAGTCAAATGAAATATTACGGGCTGTGCTCGAAAAAACAATATATAAATTTTTCAAGTTTTTTTTTTTTTTTTTTTTTTTTTTTTTTTGGTACCCATGTCCCCACATTTTGCCAACACCAACGCAGTAATCACGCCTTAGCCAACATATTCGCCGGACTTGGCCACCTGCCATTTTTTTTTATGTTCCCAAAACTGAAAAGATCTATGAAAAGGCGGAGATAATAACCGCATAGCTGGACGAGCTCAAAACCATACAAGGCATACCAGAACAAATCTAGTCTGTCGTTGTTAAATGAAAAAAGAAAATATCTTTTTTTTTTGTGTTTTTCTTTTAAAAAACTTGTAAAGACTTTTCTTATTACCTGACATCTCACAAAGAAATGAAAAAAATTTTTTTTTTGTTTTTATTTTATTCTCATCATCGACACATCTTTCAATGCTAAGTTTATCTTTCAATTGTATTTAGCATTAACAAGAGAAATTTTCTGTAATTGAAATTTATTTCCATATCGTTTTGTTGGGGATTTCTCATTTTCGTTTAATTATTATTATTATTTTTTTTTTATTTATTTATTTTTTTGTCCATTATTACATTATAAATTTGTTTTGTGTTTTCCCATCAAAGTAAATTTTTTTTTTTTTTTTTTGTTGAAATGACTGACACTCTGTGTGTGCTGCTAGGTAGCGTAATAGTTTACAATTTTTATATTCATTCGATTCTCTTGATCTTAATTGAGTTTCATTTAAACCTTAAACTTAGGCAAATTACGTTTTATTGCGGTTGTGATTGCGGTTCTTGTAGCTGTTATTCCTATTTATTACCAATTAAAAGATTTATGAAATATTTCAATGACTTTCATTAGCTGTTTCTTTTTTTTATTTTTCTTTTCTAATATATGAAAACACTAAACAGGTAAGACGATTTATGTTGATAGCTGTTCATGTAAAGGACAGACAACGAATATTTTTTAATTTTTTTTTTAGGAGAAGTGGTTAACATAAAATTATGTAATAATTTGCTTTCTATGGTTTTCAATTATTATGTTGGCAAAAAAAAAAAAAAAAATAAACAAATAAAAAAAGAACTTTAAATAAAATTTTTTTGTGAAATAAAACAAAAAAGAATTTAAAAAAAAGGAGGATTTTTTTTTTCGCTTAATATGTAAAAATTTTTCCAAAACAAGTTTTGCTTAATTCCTTATTTAAAAAAAGGCACAAACTATACCTTTCGCTTGCTTTAGTTAATTATATGCTGAATAACTAAAATGTTTGTTGTTTTTTTTTTTTTTTAATTTCACTACAAGATTGGATTATAATGCTTTAACACTAAGGACTTGATTTGGAAAGATGTTATGCTATTTTTTATTTTCGTTTTGAGTTGTTTGTGTATTTATTTCATGTTTTTTTTTTTTTTTTCTTTCTTTTTGTGTATAAATATTTGGTTTGATTTGTTTTATGTAGAAATTATTATCATTCTTATTTATTTATTTATTTATTTTTTTTATTAATAGTTGAATGTTTCTTTATTATCGGAAGAGTTGGAAAATTTTAAAACAAAGCAAACCTAAATAATTATAAATTATATACATACATATATGTATATATATATATTTATATATATATATATATATTTATATATATATATATATTTATATATATATATTTATATATATATATATATTTATATATATATATTTATATATATATTTATATATATATTTACATATATATTTATATATATATTTACATATATATTTATATATGTATTTACATATATATTTATATACATAAACATATATATATATATATATATTTGTGTATGTGTGTGTGTGTGTGTGTGTGTTTGTATGTACATATGTATATACACACGTTTATACAGTTTTAATTTGTCTATATTTTTTGTTGTTCTTGTTGTTATTATTATCATTATTATTATTATTATTATTATTATCATTATTATTATTGGTAGATGGTAAACGGTTTTATATAGTGTGTCCTTAACTTAGCTCT